TTTTTGTGGTGGTCTACGAGGCCTGCAGCTCCATATACTCCGTTATTGATGATGATGGCAACAGGCCGCTCTGCTGCGTATGATCACGACAGATCAATTATGTGATTGTGGCATGTAAACCGAGTACTGAGAGGAGTCAGGCTCGACCTCCAATTTGGGATGGTGATGCGTGGCTGTTCTTGGGCGATGGGTTGAGTTGTTTGGCTAATTTCGCTAACGAACGAGGCTTCAGACTGCTAAATAGCTACATAGGGACTGTTTTTCTTATGATCAACGTCTTTGAAGGGCTGTTGGATGATCAACCAACATAAGAATAAGGAGTGAACAACTTGAAAACTTTGTGACCTTGCTACTTACCGTACTCTCAACCTATCACCAAAAACCATGGTTGTCATGCCCCACGCCTGTCTCGCGTCCACTCCCTCGCGTAAACTATTACTGAATGTCAGATTATCGTTGACACCATCCTCCGTCCGAGTGCATATGCCGTGGTCAAGCGTACCAATAAAAAATAAAAAAAAATACTCCTTGTTTACATCAAGAACAAAAATTTGGTTGGCAAACATGCCGCCCGTACAACCATCAACAAGAAAAGAGATCACGTGCATTCTAAGTCTGCGCTTCCACACACTCTTTATTTCTAATCAACCACTTAATCTACGTAAATGAAACGCAGTCACGATTCGCACCGCATACTCAGACCTTAAACCAAATTTATTCTCTATCACTTGCAAAAACCAGGGCGAATACCCTTGCAAGCTAGGTTGTTTTACCGGACGTCCGGGACCCCCCTGACCGTCCGGGATGTCCGACCGGACGTCTGGTCGGATGTCGGATCGGACAGGGGTTGTCCGACCTAGCGCCAAAAAAAAAAAAAAAAAAAAAGTGTGAAAAAAATCATGTGGCTTCTACCTTGCATAAGGTGTATGCCACCAAAATTTTGGCTCATTTGAGCCAGTACAAAAAAAAATAAAAATCTTCAAAGTTTCTAATCCCCACCTATACCCCTCCTATCCCCACCAAAACCCCTCGTAACCCCCCCTCCCACCCCAAATAGCACCCTATCACCAAATGCTCAGAAAATTCTGAATTTTTTTATGGGGGGTCTCTATGGCATGCGCAACACTGTCATTTTTTTTAATTTTTTTTTTAATGCCAAAAAGTAGTTGACCGGGATCCCGAACAACCCCCCTACCGGACGGTTGGGGGAGACGTTCGGCCGAGACGTCGCCATCAGACGATTGGTAACCTAGCTTGCAAGGGTATTCACACCGACAACTTACCAAACCATATTAAGTGACGTCCCCATCGCTTTGGAAAATCAAAAATTTATGAGTTCATCCATAACTCAAAACGTTGACGAGAAAAAAAACCAATTTGATTAGCCGACAGATCTGGTTAGAGGACTCCATCAATCAACGCCAAGCACAACTATATGCTGCCAGGATTTTACCCTGGGTCTCCATTGTCCTGACATCAGGACGTCGGTATACTAGGCCCTCTCAATAGTCCTCTCTCCTTTGTCCTGGACAACGTCGGTTTCTCGCTCGATGTCCCATCTAATCACAGCCTTGCAAGCACGACCGCCACTTAGGACGCAAGCCCTAACCGGGACCTTCTAAAGGCACTCGCGCCTCGCTCCTAAAATTCTCACAACCAAGTATATATATATATATGGGTTCAGCCTCCTGATGAGTCGGTGAAACTCCGACGAAACAGTTTGTCACAACCCCTCGTTTGTTGCCCTCTTCTCTCTCTCTGCCTACGGTTTACCGGACAGTTCTGTTTGTGACGATATATAGTTATGTTTGTGACGATATGTATATCATAGTTGCGGCGCACCAGTGCGCAGTGCGGTGCGGGGCGGTGCGCACTGCGTTGTGCGCTGGAACAACAACGCGCGCACTGTGCGCAGTACCCAGTGCGGTCCGCTGTGCGAGGTGCGCGCGCTGAGGGAGTTGCGCCCTGTCCCCAAAAGAGAGAGAGAACAAAAGGTCCCCTTCACGTCAATTAGAGGCCCCCCCCGCAGGTATCTCGAATGGCTCCTACAATAATTTGGAGCCATTAAGGGTAAGTTTCAATGAGAAGGATAACCTCGTCACGTGTGGGAGAGATGTGGGCAGACCACCAATATATGCTGTGGATTCGAGTTTAGGGCTGTAACTCGGTAGTTATGGGTCACCAATTCAGGTAGACCCTGTCCGTGTCTACACGTGATTCTCAAGGCCTCCCTCCACCACTCACCAAATGTATATAATATTAATAGAATGAATCTTCTCCGAAAACATGGAACCATACACCGCCATATGCTATGTCTTTCGTGCATCCCCACTTGAAATATTCGTAAGAAAACAAAAACAAAAAAACGAGAGAGCCACGGGCATAATGAATCTTCTGCGAAAATATGGAACCATACACCGCCATATGCTATGT